TGTGTGTGTGTTTTTTAACTTTTCCTCAAGATCTCAAACAGTGGATTAGTTTACCAGCCCTGATTTTCATCTTTTACATCGTCATCATTCGCGCATGTTGAAAAAAGTAACAAGCCTATTTTGACAAAATAAGGAGTGGAAAGTACAGATATCAATTTTCAAATGTAGGGACTACATAAGTACTGAAGTCAAGTTCAGATACCTGCAAAATCCACTTCAGTTACAAAGTATTTATACGTTGTTACCTCCTGCCTTTGTAGGCTCGCAAACGCTGGTCAACTTGTGCGTGGTGCTGACCTCACATTTCTTCTCCTTGGCAGGAGGACGTAAGCGCTCAAATGTCCTGGTTTTCCAGCCCTGTGTACAGTCGATACTGGCAGCACTACCGGCAGGCGATGGCCTGGCACCAGAGGCACAAGCGAGCCTACCAGAAGGCCTTAGAGGCTGCTTACGGCCCCATCTACCACCGCCAGAGAGAGCGCTATTCAGACTGGCATGCATGGGAAAGTGACAGAGAAGAAGGGGAGAGTAGCTCGGACACTGAGATCGAATGCGACGTCAGTAACATGGAAATTAGCGAGGAGCTTCGGCAGTATTTTGCCCAGACAGAGAAACATAGAGAGGAATTAAGTAAGTGGATGTGTAATCTGAATAACAATTCACAGATTTGTGTTTACACTGTACAGTGGGACCTCAAGTTACAAATTTCATTGGTTCGTTGAGCTCGTTTGTAACTTGAGACGTTCATAAATCGAGGTAATATTTCCTATTGAAATGTATGGAGAATGGAATTGATCCTTTCCAGCCGTAAAACTGAGTTCTACTTAAATTACTACTGGATGGCAAACAAACTAAGTCTTACAACATGAGTAGGCCCAATCAGTTTTTTGTGGATTTGGAATGATATGCATTAAAAATACAGTATCACAATAACGTTAAAATTTTGAGTGGATTTTTCTGGGAAAAGTGTAAAATAAATTTTTGGGCATATTTCTTGTTAGGCAGTTTTGTGCTTTATAATGCCAAAAAAAAACATACAGTCAGTGGTTATTTTGTAGTTTCCTTCAACCCTTTTGTTGTTGACTTAGGATAGTGGATCTTTTAATACATGCATTGAAAAATGTATTTATCAAAAATGAAAAGCACATATTGTGATAGGCTTGTGCACGCCCGCGACCCTCGTGAGGTTGAGCGATTCGGATAATGAATGGATGTATTTATGTACATGAAATCAGATCTTCTTTATTTTAATACAGATTAATTTATTGCTTGAGAAGATAACCTTTGAAAAAATAATTGAAGGGAAGTGAGTGGGGAACAAAATGTCTTTCACCAATCGTCGGCAGATCTGGAACATAACCCGTGCAGTAAACATCGTTTCACCGTATTCATCCTGCTGTTTCCACAGAGAGGCAGCAACAACTCGATGCCAAGCAACAGGACAGCTACGTCCCAGCCGATCAGGACTTGCGTGGCACCTCACGGCAAGCCAGCGTGGCCCCGCCCTCTGAGCGGCCAGGTGAGAGGCGTGGGGCTGAGATGAAGAAGCTGTATGGTGAGGATGCAGCCAAGATCTTGGCCATGGAGGCGGCGATGCAGCTCACTTTTGACAGAAACTGTGACCTGAAGCAACCCAAGTACTGGCCCGTCATCCCCCTCAAACTTTAGCATTCAGTCTGTGGAGGCTTTTATTTATTTGATATATTAAAAGTGGAACAACTGGAGTTTCTCGAAAATCATGTTGGGACACTTCCCATTTCAAGATTAGCAATAGTCCACGTTTGAAAACGCTGCAGCTTTTAGTCATAATTTCTGTCGGCAGGAACGTCTGCTGTAACCTGTCATTTAACTTTGAATTGTGTTTCCAATAAAGTCATGTTTGGATAAAAATTTGTGATCGTTCGTTCATTTTGCGACTTTTGTCATGTTGTCCAACTGGAGGTCTAATTCAAGTGCCACCTAAAATACATGATAAAGCAACCACAACAGTCTCTGAATAATTAAGAAAAGTAACGGAGGCAAGCCGCACTTTGCCTCTTGGGTTATACCATTTTAACGAGACCGGGTGGGGAGCGGGGGGATAGTCCCCAAATACTGTACGATGGCAATGAGCTCAATTTAACAAATAATCAAAAAAAGAAAAGAAGCTTCAAGCCGTTTGATGCCACTCCCATTTAAGTTCCCTCTGAAACCTAATTTAAAACAACGTTGATGATTCAAAACAATGTTGTCTTAAGAAAAGCCCGCTAGCATAATCGTAATATAGCATAGAAAAATGCCACTCAGATGCTAACAGTTAGCATCAATTGTCAAGGGTTTCAAATCCTTTAAGCAACGGATATTTGATCGCAAAAGTTGGAGTAATACTTGAACAGATAATGGCATGATACGTACTAGAATATGGCCAATAATAATAATAATAATAATAATAATAATGGCAAATAATGCAGCATCTGACGGAAGAAAAAATACTATTTTTCCTTTGTGTCTGAAAAACTGTATTACACTGCCTCCCAGTGGCCAAAGCGGGCACACTAAAATGAGCCGCACAATAAATTGAATTGCAGCATTCAATTGTGAAAGTTTAATTCTTCACATCCTATTTAATTATTGTTAGTATTCTGTGTTTTTTTTAAAGCAGAATATCAGAGAATGCTATTTTTCCTTGTTTAAAAAAATGTCTTTTGGTGGCAGTGGGGCTGGAATGAATAAATGCCATTTCCAATCGTTTCAGTAGAAAAAGTTGATAAGCAGATTCAAAGAAGCAATAAACTGCAGCTTAATGTGGCATGCGTGGTTGAAAAATGTTATATAAAAAACCTTTATTAATAATTATGTTTATTTAACACTGATGCACAGTCAATAACCATCCATCCATCCATCCATCCATAGGCCAGATGGATACACACTGATTATGAAAGCATCATTACAACTACTAGTGCGACATAATTTGAAATAATATGATTTTTCTTGTCGCTTTAAAGTTGAATCTGTTAGCTTTTCCATTCATAGAAGGAATAGTAATTCTACTCCACTTTTAACACAACTGTAGGTGATTTTTTTCCCCCAAAAAATATTTGGCGCCCCCTGCAGGCCATGGCTCTTACCATTTGCCTATACAGTATTCCCGAATGGACAAACCGGCCAGCTGCCCCACTTTCCAAAACTTGTCGTCCAGTAGATTACGTTACCTCCACCCACACCCACATCCGCATCCGTATCATACAACCGGCGGTCTTCAATTTTATGTTTATTTTCATGCCACATTTTTCAGAAGGATGTGCATAGAAGGAAAATGGGAAAGTGAAAAAAATTGTGAGTCTTAAAATAAATAAACGCACAAGAAATCAGATCATTTTCAGACTATACTCTCTCACTTTGTGTGTGTGTGTGTGTGTGTGTGTGTGTGTGTGTGTGTGTGTGTGTGTGTGCGCGCTGCATTACACTTTGTCACTTTGCGTTGGCTGTTGGAAGCTTTGCGCATGTGTGCACGTTGTACGTAATGCGCCTTGCTTGACTATTGTGCATCTCTGTTAATCAGTTTAAAGGATTAAAAGAAAAGAAACCCCTCTCAGTCTGCTCGCTTTCACCGTTTCAATAAACCTGTATGTTTATTTTCTTTATAATTGCGGTTTGGAAAATGTGATGGTCAAACTTTGTTCATCACTGAGCACGCATGTGCACAATTACGCTCTCTTCGTGAACTAGATTGCACAATTTGTCACATACCACGAGCCAGGACTTTAAAGCAATCGAAATTATGAGAGCCACGAGCTCTGAAAAGAAGAATTATTATTTCAATTCCATACAATCACTGCCTTCCAACTCTTTCAGTGTGGCATTGATTCTGTGAATATTTTGTCACTTTGGCCCATGCACTTGCCATACAACAAGAAGGTGCCGTGTTTACACGCACCACAGCCACAGCTCCTTGTGTGAGACTCGATGTTGATTGGATTTCCAGTGAATCTGCTTGCTTGGCTGTGGATTAGACGAGCTGTGTGAGCTTAAAGCACATAGCATAATTTTTATTGTTGCGTGAGGACATATTTCACTTCAGCCTAGAAAAGCACAAGCTCTGTCTTTGTCTGACTTTGATAACATCTGGCTTTAATAACGCAACCAGACTGTTTGCGGCCTTCAAAAGTGAAGGGTGGCCTGGAAGTTAGCCAAGAAGTAGCCAACAGGATTTTTTTACAATGGGCCTTCTCCTCCAGGAAGACCTTGAATTTTTTTTGCAGCTCATCATTTGACCTGTTTGTTCAGCTAAATTCTATTTTCACACTATCCCTGTTAAAATTCTAACCCTTTCTTGCATTACATTCATTATATCCATTCTCATCCCTTTTGACCAACCTTTGTGAATTCACCCTTTGTGCTCTTGGCAGCACGTGCCTATACTGCATCCTCTCTTGAGGAATGGCAGTGCCGCACTGAAGCTGTAAAACATATGCTAAACCCGACAGGCACTGAGCAGGAATAATAAGCTGAAACTGGAATCAAAATTTTGCCTTTTAAAGTCTGTGTAAAGTAAAAATAAATATGCGTTGTAAATTTGACACACTACTGAGAAGACTGTTCTTCACCACCCTGCCGAATTTGAATGTTTAAAAAAACAATACATGTTCGAGCCATAAAAATAAATCCGCTTAAAGCCGTCTGTGGCTGGAATATACTGTATTGCACCAAGTCATCGCAAGGTTTTTTCACACAATTACTCACTACTACATAGTTCTCACTCAGTTTTCAGAAATTGTCTTCAAACATGTATGACGTGTTAGGAATAGGCTCTTTGAATTTACGTTACTGGGTCTAAATTCCGAGCCAATCTAAACTGTAAGTGCATTTTGTGGAAAATTTGGAAAGAGTGGTGCTTTGCATCACTGTTTTCCATACAGCTACCCTGTAACCTCAATACTTGCCAGTTGCGTAGGTGGCACGTCTTTTATTTATTTATTTATTTGTCTTGCATGTGAGCAAATTTAAGCTCAGCCCGACGGCTACTCTGCCGTGTCGGAATTAGTGGTCGTCGAGAGTACCTGTTGCCATGGCGACTTAGCAAAGCACTAAACTCAGAGGCGGGCGTCAGATCACGTGCAGTCACATGCAAGGAGTTGTGGATCGGAGAGCCCACGCAGGCGGGCAAACAATTATGAATGTGGATGACACACTGTTGCCCAGTATAACACAAAATTCTCAAATCTAGGGTGGTATTGGCACAAAAAGGAGTCACATACTATTTTGCTAAATAAGAGCTACAGTATATTGGAGAAGAGTGATTATGTTGAAGGAGGTGCACGGCCGCCTACATCATTCTCAATGGGGGAGCTTGCAAGTTATCTGTATCAACGCACTTCGCGCGTGCCAATGTCATGCACGGACCCCACTGGCTCTATTTCTGCTTTGACCACTCTGATTTTAACGCAAATGAAGGGAGACGCATCGATTGGCCTGAAGTTGGTTACGTTCCATCTCACAACGGTGTCTGGATTCTCAAAAGACATAAATATCATTGGCAGTGAAATAGTTAATAAATTGAAACACATGAGCACGTTTGTGTGGGAGGTACAGTAGGTCACATGTGCACAAACCCTGCCTCATATGACATAAGCAACGGTGCAAGCATGCTTGCGTGCGTGCGTACGCGCGCGCGCGCGCGTGTGTGTGTGTGTGTGTGTGTGTGTGTGTGTGTGTGTGTGTGTGTGTGTGTCATGGATGGATTGTGCGTGGGATGACGGCATAACAACATGTGGAGCAGACTGCAGACCAAATCTGGGCCAGTGGGATTAATGGCTCGTCAGATAAATTGCAAGATGGAGAGATTGGTCCGGCGAGTGGGATGTGTGTGACTGTGTGTGTGTGAACGTGGGTAAGTGTGAGTAGTTTAAGGTCACCACGCCGACAGAAGTCAGGTATCGTCAATAAAAGAAGAGAGACGTTGCAATTGCTATTTCGAATTTGCAGTAATGCAGGCAAGTGCACAAATGATGACAGTGCATGATTGTATCATCATGGACGAGTTTGCTTCAAGTTACACGCCGGTCTTCAACTGGTCCTTCACAACAGCACCTTTCCAAATAAACAATGGCATCTTTACATTGTGTGTGTTGGGGATGGATTATCCTAGTCAGGGATGAGAGTGAAACGTCTCCTTGGCGACTAAAAGCTGAGTGTGTGAGAGGGAGGGGGGCGAAACTGGGTCATCACCAACACGGCAGATTAAAAGCCCTGATCGCGATGTACACACATATACCACTGAACACATACTCACACACACACACACACACACACACACACACACACACACACACACACACACACACACACACACACACACGCCCACCGACATACATTCTATTACACACACAATTTAGCATTCATTTATTCCATGAAACCTGAACTTGTCATGTTTTCTGTTTGTGACCAACAGGTGGCGCTGTAGGGCTCCTCCTGCAGCTGCACACCTGTTGGTCATTATGTGATTATTGCTATAAAGGGACTCCCGGCCCGACCACTCAGTGTCAGGTCATTGTTTGTTTGCTCCTGATACGTTTCGGTCATGTTTGTTTCTATCTTATGTTTTGTTCATGTCTCGTTCATGTTTCGCTCTTGTTCTCGATCATGTTCTCGCTCATGCTGCGTCACAGTTAGTTTTTTGCTTCAGTCATGGTTTTGGTTTGTTACTTTGGATTTTTGCTTTCTTCATGCCTGAGTTCTCGATTTAGTTTTTCTCTTTGTTTAAAATACAATTCGTCGAGTACACCCTGGTCCTCCCTCTCGCCTGCTTTTTTGGGGTCCACCACCAC